TTCATGCCAATCAAACATCTGTTCTCTGTTCCCTTTGTCAAGAGGAGCACCTGTTGACCTCCGAATGACCTCTGCTGGTAAGCATTGTGGTGGGAGAAAGCTATACTATAGTTTCCTGTTTCAGACCGGAGATTGGGGAAAAAAAAAAAAAAAAAAAAACATGAAGAGGTTTTATGACTACTGTTTACCTTAGTGGAGAACTGCCTCTTCTCCCCCTCCCCCTTTTTTGTTCTTAATGTGCTGCCGAAAAAAATGTTTCACTAGGGAGCAGGAGGTGAAATTTTTCTCATCCAAATGGATGGCAATTTCCCACCATTTAGCACCTGAAGGTAATTAGCTTGAAGAGATTGCGGAGTGAGAAACACGTTCATGGAACATTAACTCTCGTACATTCTCCAGTTGCAGAGAATTAATAGGAAAGATTAAAGTTTAAAGAGAGCAAATGCCATTACCACACAAACCACCTCTCTGTGCCACCATCTTGGGCTAACTTTTCCCTCTCTTTATAATAAGTCTGCATTTCACAATGGCACTGGAGTCTGGTGTACAATAGCAGGTAATAAATGGTGGAAATGAGACAGTTCTTTAGGGTTGCTCCATGGTTCTGTATGAGATAATGGGGAGCCTCAATAGCCTGCAGCATTATTTTTCTCCTTAACAGCTTTCTGCTTGCTTCCACTACACTCTGATGCAGTATGCTAATAACCATTTCAAACACCCTTGTGCTCATGAGAATGCTAAGCAAATGCAGACTTCAATCTAATGAAGAATTTAACACCTTCAATTGTATAGGCCCCACTTATCTAGCCTTTAAATATCATTTTACACTGACTTTATTAGGTACACCTTTGCTAGTAACAATTTGGACCCCCCAACTGCCTTCAGAACTGCCGTTCTTCTTTGTAGCATACATTTAACAAAGTTGTGGAGACATTCCTCTGAGATGCTGGTCTATATTAACATTATAGCATCACACAGTTGCTACAGACCTGATCAGTTTCGTTGGGGAGCAGGAAGTGCCATGGATCTCAGATCCATATTTTAAATTTTCTGTTCCCTCTCATCCCAAAACTGCCCTACAGCATTGAGATCTTGTGACTGTAGAAGCCTCGTCATTTTTATGTCCATGGTTCTTAACCAAAAAAAATAAAAAATAGACTGCTCCCTCTTGGTTAGGTGTATCAAATGCAGGAGTTAAAATGTCATGTCTTGTAGATGAGTGAGGGTGGGATGGAATCATAGATGGATCGATGGATTGGGGTATCATCTTCTGTAACGGAGGCACTGTTTATGTCTGTTGTCATGAAGAAAGAGCAGAACCAAAAGGCAATCCTCTTGGCTTACTGGAGAGCTATGGTCCAACCTTCACCTACAGCTGTGGGACATGGATTATGAGAGAAAGAAAGAGATCCAACATGCAAGTGGGTGAAATGAGTTTTCATTGTAGGTGGCAGGGTTCCCTCGTAGAGAAAGAGTGAATCTCAGTCCCTTGGGAGAGGGTTGGCATGGTGTCACTGCTCTTTAGCATTGAGGAGTTTCCTCATGAGATCTTCTGGGTACATCCTGCTAGAAGGAGACTCTAGGGCAGAATCAAAACTTACTGATTTACTTAAACGTTCTCACTAAAACCAGGAAGATAGAGCAAATAACACCAGTTTTAAAGTCCCTACACTGGCTCCCTGTAGCTCAAAGAATAGGCTTTAAAATACTGTTAGTTTATAAATCACTGAACGGTTTAGCACCACAATACCTTAAAGGTCTGTTATTACTGTACCAACCGTCTAGACCCCTCAGATCTTCTGGTTCTGGTTCTGCTCTGCATCCAGAACCAGAACCAAACGAGGAGAAGCAGCATTCAGTTTATATGCACCACAAATTTGGAACAAACTTTCAGAAAACTGTAAAACAGCTGAAACACTGGGTGCCTTTAAATCTCAACTTAAAACCCACCTGTTTAGAGTTGCTTATGGCTAAATTAGGGTTAGAGCCCCAGTTAGACGACATTTAACTGAAGTCCCAAAAGGGGTGCGGGTTTTAATGTTTTTATCTTTTTTAATCTTTTTCAAAATGTCTTTCTCTTTCTCACTGTTTATTCAATGTCACATGCTGCTTTTATTTTAATTATGTAAAGCACTTTGAAATGCCTTGCTGCTGAAATGTGCTATACAAATAAAATTTGATTGATCTGATTGATTGATTGATTGATTGCTAGGTATCATATCTGTGCTGGGGATATTATGGGATCCCCAGAATGATCTAGAGACCGTCACTTGGGATTTTTGTTGTGGGATTTTTCCTAGAATTACCTCTCTGACACACTTATACAAAAGAAGAAGGATGGATAAATGGTACATGGTGGTCATAAAGGTTTGGCTAATAATACTCAGATTGACAAAGTTCTTAAATTGACTTAAATGGCCCAGGAAAATAACACCATCTTCTTACCTGTAATTCAGAACAGGATGGATCCACGCCTTTGTGTTTTTAACCCCGAATTCTTACCCTACGGCAGATATTCATTTTGCTAAGACGTTGTGCAAACAGTTAATTTCCATTTCTGGTAAGCCTGTGGTTACTGAAGCCTCAGTTTCCTGTTCTTGGCCAGCAGGAGTGAGATCTGCTTCATGGTGTAAATGCCTAAATGCATCAATGTGCTACCATCCATACTAACAAGAAATTAAACATGTGTTCCTAATAAAGTGGCCAGTGAGTGTATGTGCAAAATGCAGAAAGAAATGCTCTGCTGTGTTTTAGAAGTACAATCATCTTGTAGCTTCTAAGCTTTCTGTGCTGAGGAACAGAGTATTCTAAAGTAGATCAAACCAATGCGATAAATCATACCTTTGTATTTAAAAACTGAAAGAAATTAAATTGAGACATGCTGGAATTTATTGCCCAGAAAATCCCATTCTACTATCTGATTTGAAAAGTCCAGTCCTCCAAGCTCTAGAAAATCTATTTTCCACATTTTAATACCCTGCATAACAGTCCTCATAATTCATTCGAGTGTGTTAAGCACAGTTTTATTAGATCTGAAACAAATTTTGGTGGGGGATCCTATAGGCCATTAACCATGGAGTAATTTTATCCTTGTTTCCTTAATGATGCCATAATGGCGAGTGAATTTCTTAACTAAAGACCAAAGAACATTTTGAAGGTCAGCTTCATCTGCAGACTCCTTCATGCGCTTCTGTGAGAGATTGGAAAAGTCTTAGAATTTTGAAGAGTCATTAATAACGCTAAAGCTGAAGGCCTATTTGTGTTATAGCTTTCTACCTAGTAATGTAACAGTTTCTCCCTGTTCCTCTGCCCCTTTTCCTTGCTTCTCTCTGCTTTGCAGCGCCTCTCAAGCAGAAAGAATAGAGTGCTGATTGAGAGGGTGCAAATGGCAGCGCGGTGACAAACAGATCCCAGATGTGGGTGCCTCGATAATTTAAATTTTATGCCTTTGTTATCACTTTAATCATTTTCTTTATTCGTTTTGTCTCAGTGATCGGAGAAACAGTTGATAGGCCGAAATGTCCTGGGAACAATTTTTATTTGGTGTGTGGTGCAAAGTCTAATTAGAATTAGAATTTTGCTGAGCCTTGAAATGGTTGGTGCTTTATCCTGATCGCCTTAGATATTGTTCGAAGTCAGTCATTTGTCATAGCAGAGCATGCTGGGAAGGCTGTTGCTAATCAAGCCCCTATCTCCTTCACTCTTTTTCTGCTGCCATTGCACCTCTGTCCAAATAAATGCTGTTAGGTAAGGATGAATGCAGCCTTGGCTCTGACACTGAATGGTGTGGATGCCCCACAAAGCAGCATTTAAGACAAGTTAACCCAAAGTGGAACTTTAAAAGAAACTTAGACTTTTCAATTTTTTAAGGAACACCTCTGGCTGTCATTAACAAGAGACATTTTTTCTTTGCTCTTTGTAAGTTTATGAAGTCTGGAAGTGTCTTATGAGCTTTTCACTGTGTTTGAGTGTTTTTACTTAATCTTCTTTTATTAAAGGCTTTGTGATTAGTTTATGTTCATATGTTTGAAATTCCATTTTCTGTACTTCATTTTAGTTAATTCTTCTGTTCAGTTTCTTTGCCAATTCCTGTTTCTAATTGTCAGGTGCCTCAACCTTTAGTTTTCTGGTTATATGGCTTTGTTAAGATGTCTGAGTGTGAGACAGATATTTCTAAAGCAGAACTAAACATGGAGAAGCATCATTCGGTTTCTATGCTCCACTAATCTGGAAAAGACCTCCAGAAAACTGCAAATTAACTAAAACACAGAGTTCCTTTAAATTAAGGTTACAAACTCACCTGTGCAAAATCTGCAAAACTGGTAGAGACATATTCCAAAGTACCAACAGCTGTAATGTTTTGCAAAAATGGTTCTACAAAATATTAAAATAGACCTGCTGAATCAAATGCACACCACACTTTCAATAGTTTAAATATCTGTTAATTTGCTTGGGTCTTCTACTTAACATTCCAATAAACTGCATTGCAATGTGTGCATGTATGAAAAAGTTCAAGCATTTTAAATCAAATACCAGAACTTTGGAAGTTTCACAAACGACATCTTTGGTACCGACTTGGACTCATCTCTAATGAATTATGAATTAAGTCAGACTCATTGTGAGTTATTTGAGTTTCTTGAACAATCCTTATCTGATAAAGAGGCCCAATATATTAAATACTGATTATCCTCGCAGTATCAGTGGGTGCAATATTGCAATAGCAAAGGAGTGCTTGTATACAATACATTGAATATATTTGTTTTAAGATTCATGCTATCAAAATTTGTCCAGTATGAATGCTAAAAGTCATGAAGAGACTTGAGTTCATTGTGAAACAGTGAAAAGAAAATGTGGATTATTTACTCTACTATCTACTAGTATCACCATTATATATATATGCTTACAATTTAAGAAGCTGCATTTCATATTCTTCTCAAAAAATGATTATTGTCAACTCTGAGAAAATATATGTAAACCAGTTTTATTGGGTACATTCAGAAATAAGTTACATTTAGTCGAATTGAATCTATAGACGAAGTAGATCCAGAGATGAAAGAGCTCCTTCTTTTATGTGAAAGGGAGAGGTGCGGAAAGTGTCAGCGATGGTATTTAAAGAATCTAGGAGTCTGTAGAACTGCCCGAGTCTTTTGTCCACCAGGTGAGCAGGGGTTCATTCAAGAAATTGAAGCTGACAAGCCTTAACATTTAGAAATGTAACAATAAATGGCTTTTATGCAGACATGTCCCAATGCATTGGTGGCACACACCATCAGGAAGAAAGCCGTCGTTCACAGATGTCACACTCAGTGAATCTATCAGGGTAGGGGAGCCCTCACTAAAATAAGACCCCAAGAGGACTTCAGCCATCAATCAGACCTATCACATCACACCACTACCAGTATCTTAAATGTATATTATGCCCTTTATACTTGTGCGAGGTTTTTATGTTTTATTTTCAATTTCTGTTTCAGTTTTCTTTTTCATTTATAAACACTGTACAACCATTCTGTGACCCGTAAGTACATTCAGACATCCAAAATCAGCGTTTTGTAAGTTCTTTAGGAATTGCCAGAAAGCCAGCATCTCCCTGCGACTCCTCTTTTTTCAGATGCTAAGAAATTACCCTCAGTGGGGGGGGAAAAAAAAAAAAACATAGCAAAATGTACCTTTAATAGCTCGAGACATTTTTCTTTTTCAGCAACAAGTTTAATTGGAAAGAAGTAGATTTGTCTTTGAATGGGCAGAAAAAGAAATAAATCGGTGTGACAAGATGATCGATTAGCTGTAACTCTACCTGACACAGAAATTAGGGTTTTTTAATGATGGGCTGCCTCTTCTTGGACATGAAATTCAAATGCTCTCCCAAAGTCTACCTTCAGCCATCACTTGTCTCCCTCGCTTGTACGCTCCAAACGCAGGCACTTTGTCTTTGTCACTGAAGAAAGGACATTGTTATTACCGACATGTCTTTGTATCAGCCAATTTCATTCCTTTACAAGTAACATCTCATTGAGTTTACCTATGCCGCTGGCTTATGTTTTATAACCTGCAGAAAAAGCTGGACGATTAGGATTACATTCTTACTTTATCTATCTTTTATTCTCTATCTAATTATTCTGCACTCATACGAAGGATTGTTTTAAATAAATGAAACTATACTGCTGACTGTATGAAATTATCTACAACCTTTCTATCTACGTATTTAATATATTTTGATACTAAAATAACCAACCATGAAGAGGCACTAATTTACAGTTCATAAAATGTGCATATTTCTCATTTACGACCCGAGCGAGGCATAACGTGGCACTTTTTTCTATCAAATTATAGGACAAAGAGCGTGATAAAGAGTCGGAGGACTTTTGAAGCTTAAAGGTAGCTTATGAGGCTCAGCAAGCATGGGGGGTGGGATGTGGGGTCGGTGCTGGCTGAGAGGGTTAGGTGGTCGCAAGGTGTTCGCCTGTGAGAGTAGTGATGCAGCTCTCAACCGTCTGTCCACATGGCTGGAGGTATTGATCCAGTTATCATTGCTAGATCATCACTATATAGACTCAGGAGCACAGAGCACTGGGATGCCAACTGAGGCTCACTGACTGAGAGACTGCCTGGAGGAGAAAAGCTGCTGCGCTAAGGAACGAAGTGATATTAAAAAAAAAAAATAATAAAAAATTGCAGTGTTCACCACATGGCTGGTTCCAGCATTTTTAAAAGCTCTACAGAGTCTCTGAACGGGAATGCTTTTTCTTACCTAGCAGCCGCGTGAGCTTTAAATATTTGCTCAGGTACAAAGTTATCAATCTGAAATGTTCAAGGGCTCAAGGTTGAAACATAAAAAAAGAAAAAGAAACGGTGTTGCTTTTTTTAAACATTCAGAAAAAAAAAAAGCTGTATCAAAGCAAAAACATCCTGGATGTGACGTGTCACCAACAGTAGTACGACAATAGATTCAGTCAGAGCAAGCTCCTACTGACACCCTGTACTTCAAGACATAAGGAGTTTCTTCTGATTATCTGAATGGTGTAAAGTTGGGACTATCCAAACATTTAATGCTTTGTAGTTAATGTCTTGTGCCATAAGAAACAGCACTGCCTGTCATCCTGGCAGCAACCCTCTGGTCTGATTCTCCCAGTAGAATTGTATCTTCACACAACTGAACAGTGAAAATCGATGAAAGTTATTTCGATGCTTTATTATTTGAAAGTAATCTCAGAACAGGGTCCCTGCTCCTCCGCAGTGAAAAACGTGGCTTTCCAGTCATCTGATTAGCATGACTTCTGGATGCCTCCCTTTGAAAATTTTCCCAGGATGCCCCAAGGAGAGCAAACCGTCTGCGCTGCCCCTGGCCTTGAAATGCCTGGACATTCCCTGGAATGAGCTGGAGAGAGGAAGTTCTGGGTTTCCCTTCTGGATTCACATGGAAGACAATGGATGGATGGAAGCCACAAGTGTTAACACTGATTTTGTTGAATGTAAAGCATTAATTTATTAGCATTTAAGTCCAAGTCGTGCACCTAAAAACAAATCCTATTTGCATTTTTACCGTCTCCAAGCCTTCAGACAACACCAGCAAGATATAAAATGTTCAATGCTCTCTTAGACAGAACATGCAATAAGAATAGCAAATTGCCCGACGCCTTAAAGGTGAGGGCTTTCTGAGAGCAGAGGCTATAAAGCTCACCTCTCCTCACTACTAAACGTCCAATATTTCATTTGCTTGATCACCTTGCCTTAACAAAATCCCCTCATTACAGATTTATTGCAGCGTAGGTCACAGTGCAGTGGAGGTGCAGCATTCTCCAGATGTTTATGAATCCTAAGAGCTTTCTGCTTGCCCAACTTGCACAGTCTTTGTCTTATTTAGAAAGAAGAAAATGTGATATATGACAGGTGATAGTGCCCTCATTTGTTCTGTACATTGCCTCACGCACACACCCCACCACATGTCAGTGCCAGTCTCGGTCTACCAGCAACTGCCCTCCCCACACCCCTCCCCCCCCGACCCGACCATGAGAATCAACCCCCACTCTCCCACAGCTCTCACTTCCACTCCACTACCTCCAACTCTCCAAAATGATTCTGTTGTCCCTGGCGTCCACCGCGAGGAGGTAGGCCCAGAGCTGTGGAGCACAGCCGCCACCACCGCCAGCATTGCCTCTGAAGGATAATGCTGTTTATTGCATTTGTCAGGTGTTTGCAGCAATACTTTGTAAGTCTATTGCCTACTTACTGCCTTGTACTTTAAGCTAGAGCTGATGTGCCTCAATTGTGCATTTCTGGTTGTGCTTTTTTTGGCAAATTGATTCATGGCTAAAGGCTTGTAAATAGGAAACGGCTAAAAAAATTGCCACATTATATTATTCTGTTTTCTTTTTCTCTTATTTCAGCTGACAGTGCCTTGCAAAAGGAGTGTTTACCGTTTGAGTTTTTTTTTTTTTTTTTTTACATCCAATCAACCCAAACTTGAAAATATTTGATAATTTTTCCTAGACTCACATGAAGTAATGCTTATTTTTTTAAAGTTCAAGATAAATGATCGTTCTTCTTTGTTCAGTCACCTTGATTTGCGAGCGGCCGTCTTGGCTAACTTTTTTATTAATTAGGTGTAATCTTTCCTGTAAGACTCCCAGAGTATCCTTGCATTTTGGTTTTCCATGCTGAGGAGTCGTTTACCCACAGCATGCTACTGCCACCACCATATTTCTTTGTGTGGACGGCGTGTCCATTATTTTTCCATCATTCATATCCTTTTGAATGTAAGGAAATAAGTTACATTTTTGTTTCGTCTAACCAAAAACGCACCTTCCACATGCTTGATGTTTTCCCCACACATATTGTGACAAATTGAAATTGTGGCCTCCAGGTTTTCTTTTAACAACTTACCAAAATATCTTAATTTTTAATAAAGACCCATAATTACAAATTATGGTGACTTCTGATTCATTTTCGCTGAGTTTTCTTTCATTCATGCAATATGATTCAGACTTTTATTTGTCAAAAGACTTGGAAAAGCATTTAAAATACATCTGCACTTCACAATTATGCACTTTTCTGTGTTAGTCCATCTAACAAATTCCCATCCAATAGATTTAAATTTGTAGTTGTTATGTGAAAAAAGGTAGACAAGTTTAAGAGGTATTATTTTTCCCCTTATTTTATCAACCTGGTTGTTCTTTACTGGACCAACTATTGTTAAAATACGTGATTCCATTCAGTGTTTTCTTTTATAAAGCCACAGTAGCCTGGTATGTGAGTGCCACTGTAACATTATTGATGAGATCATTATTATGTATAGGATCCCTCAGTGAATAATAACCCATTATCTTTCATTTTTCCTGTTTTTGTCAGTGGATGTTGGAAAGGTTAGGCAATTTATTTTAATGTTAATACTGTCAGGCACTTACAGAGCCATGTCTTTGTTCCCAATGCATTTTCCACATGGGGCCATGATTGGTTTTAAACTAGACTACATCTTTGAACAAGCTATTCCAACAAATCTCAGTGCAATTCCTTTTCTTTTCATTCAGTTAACTTCAGGTCACATTAGCGCAAAAATACAGAAGCCCTAATAGTAAAGCTTATTCAAAATAATCCTGATCTGACCCACAATAAAAACAGAACCACAACAGAGTGCAGCTGAGATCTTCATTTTAAATCCTGCAGTGATACAAAACATAAGGCAGCTTGATAGTGATATAAATATACTTCCACCCATAGACAAAGGAAAGGGAGAGAAAAAAAATGCTCTGAACGCTTCAGTGCATTTAAATTTATACAAACTCTCCTTCTGACAGTGATGAATGTTACACTGTATTCTACAATATGTTTAATGCATAGGCCTGTTAAGTTTTCTATTCCTGTGCTGCGGCGTGGAGTCACCTCCTCTGCAGTTTACGAGATACCAGATAATAAAACCAGAGTCAAAACAAGAGTACATCAGTCAATATCCGCATGGATGTTTTCATCATGTACCTCGTGTATTCGATTCCGACGGTAGATTCGTAAGATACAACGTTAACATGAACTGTAGGAATAAATCTGCAGTTTTAATTTCTCTAGCATTTCGTGATTTATTTTCCTTCAAATGTACTTTTGCACAAAGAAATCCTCTGTTTAAGCACAGCTAACACTTTAAAGGGAAAACTGAGTTTAGGAACTGAATTTACTTTAATTACACACACTTCCCATATTTCAACTACTAGTATCATTGAAAAGCAATAGGAATAGATTGTTACCTCAGTGCCACAGTAAAACCTGTAGAGGATTTGCTTACCTTAACTTCTAGATGATTAAAATACTGCCAACATAAACAAATCACATAAAGAAGATGGAAGCTCAATAGGTTAAAAAAAGAGCACCTTTGCTGTACTTCATTGGGTCTAGATGTTTGTCTCTCTCTCACACACACACACACACACACACACACACACACACACACACACACACACACACACACACACACACTTTTTTGCAGCCTGAATGAACCATGGACATTTCTTGATATGTTGTAGAAACTATATATATATTTATTTAAATACATTCCATTCTACTCTTTTGAGGGTTGTCCATTCTAAGTTTACTGTAAACACCTTACTGATAGTGGAAAAAAAGATAACTTTGTCTTCCTCACTCAGTAGCAACCTTGACACTGAAGAGTGTTTTTGTCAACATGAACTGGTGTCGCTTTGATAAAAAAAAGATCCGTCCATCTGTTCGTCTTTTGCTCATCCAAAATTGATGTAAGCATCAAGTATCCTACATGGTTTTATTACACTTTACTGAATCAATTGATTAACTTCCCATGGTTATTTTATGTATGTACACATCATTCACTCTTTTTGTGCTTTTTTTAAATCCATATGAGATTATTTTTGTTGTGATTTTTTTAAATATCACTATTGTACAACACGTTGCTTAATTTATAAAGTGTAGTAGCAC